CGAAAAAGTAAGTTGATGTTAGTTATCTTGTTTAGTTATATAAATACGGACGCTACGTACTTGATGCATGCCGCATGCAAAAATCTATTATTTCACGTAAATAATTTATATAATTATTAATATTTCAATAATAATATGAGCATATATAAGTAATAAAAATGCAAAAGTTTTTTTTTTCATATATATTTTAAGTCTCATAAAATTTAATAAATAATACCCAATAAGAATATAATATATATACTCATTGAAAATGTGATTATTTTAACTTGAATTATTTACATATATTGATCATATTCAAAACAGAATTAATAATGTAGAAAATGGTGAAAAATGAAAAAGAAAATGTTATATATATATACAAATGATCGTGGAAAACAAAAATATTAATGCCGAAAACAATAACCCTATGTATTTAAAGAAATCTTGTGAATGTCATATCGATAGTGTTGATAATGTTTTATCCTGTTTAAATATGCAGATAGAAAACGCTACGTACTTATGCATGCCGCATGCAAAAATCTATTATTTTATGTAAATTAACTAATATATAAGTAAATTTTAATGTAATATAACGATAATAAGTAATGTAAATGAAAAAAAAAAAAAAAAATTCTTTACATGGTAATTTTAGGTATCATAAAAATATAAGGAAAGTTATCCCAAATAAGAACATAATTATATATAGTACTACTTCATAGGGAAATAAGATTTTTGAACTTGAATTAATTACCATATTTGTTCATTTCAAATATAAGTAGATTTAATAAATTAAATTAATTTCCCAACCATATAAAGTATAAAAATAGTCTTAAATTAATAACTAGAAGTAAAAGAAAATTATATGGAGGCTGGATGTGAAATATACCCAGAAATCAAACATCAAAATCATACACCAAATTAAAAACCCTTCTTCTCAAATATAAGAATATAATTATATATGCTCATTGAGAAATGTGATTATTTTAACTTGAATTCATTACCATATTTGATCATATTCAAAATAAAAAATTAAAAATTAAAAAAATTAAAAGTAATAAATAATAATGTAAAAAATGGTTAAAAATGAAAAAGAAAATGTTATATCGGAAAACAAAGTATTTAATAATCCTTTGTATTTAAAGAAAAGTTTGTTAAATGTCATCGACGAGTAATCGTTGATAATGCTTTATCCTGTTTAATTATGCAATGTTGTGTCTGGTTTTTTCATCAAACTCGAAGTATCATGAGGTTAATTATAGCACGATTCAGAACCAGTTTGGCCCCATCGATTGTCCGACCTAGCATAAGCTAGTTGTGACCTATCTTTACGGTTGTTCAACCAATTCTTAGATAACTTCAGATCTCAAATATCTCAGAAATGATCAAATCGACAATAATCTTGACACAATCACAAAGCCTAATCGCAAGAATATCGGAGTTACATTTTAATTTAATTGTAATCCCTTTTATTTTCGCTCTTTGTTTTGTACAAACTCTCTATATAAACCCCTCAAACAATGTGAAAGGGTTGGAAAATATTCATAAAATTACTATTATAAACTCTCACAACAAATATAAAAAATAGTGAATATAGGCTCAAGAGTCTATCTCGCCGAACTACTTTATAATTCCTTTTGTCATTTACTTTACTACATTCATTATTCATTACTAGTTATCCGTAATCACACACACACTAGTTTTGATTCCGTCAAGGTCGATCAAATCACTTTAGTTGGTGCAGATTTCTGCATCAACATGCAAATAGAAAACGCTACGTATTTATGCATACCGCATGCAAAAATCTATTATTTCATGTAAATTAACTAATATATAAGTTAATTTTAATGTAATATAATGATCATAAGTAATGCAAATGAAAAAAAAAATTCTTTACATGTAATTTAAGTATCATAAAAATAAAAGGAAAGTTATCTCAAATAAGAACATAAATATAAGATTTTTAAACTTGAATTAATTACCATATTTGTTCATTTCAAATATAAATAGATTTAATAAATTAAATTAATTTTCGAACCATATAAAGTATAACAATAGTCTTATATTAATAAATCATAAGTAAAAGAAAATTATATATATGGAGGCTGAAAGTGAAATATACCCAGAAATCTATCATCAAAATCATACATCATATTAAAAACCCTTCTTCTCAAAGATAAAATTAAACAGCAAGTCACCAACTCTAGCTACATATCTGTTCTTTATTTGTTTAAGCAGAGATCAAAGGATTCATGTTTTATCAGAATGACTGATCATTTTAATAAGTGCTTTCTGGCCTGCACATCAAAAGAGAATATAGAATAAATTTTCTAGATAATAAAATGAATGTATATACCTTAGTTAATTAAGCTTACTACTTCATCCTGAAGATGAAGATGAAGATGATGATGGATCTGATGATGACACACCCAGATTGGAGGACGAAGAACATGGATCATCCTCCGCCGATGGCCTCATGAGCCAATTCGGCGGTGGCCATAACATTTGAAGATAGGCCGGGAGAGACATGATAGGTTCACTGCTTCCATCTTCTAAATCATACACACCAACTCTCACTCTTCCATCTTCTAAAGCTTCCATCACTTCGCCATTATCATTTACACCCCTAGCATAATCAGTTAAAGATTTAATTTCATCAACGAAAATGATTAAATCACAAGCTTAAACCGAATACGAACAGTCATGACTTATGAAAAATATTTGATCTCCGAATCTGTGACCTCCTCCCATCTCAGTCCATCCATATTGTCACGATGATCGAGCTTAAACACTTTGAATTCCACTGGAAGTTGACGATCATGATCAAGATTAACATAGCGTAGAAAGGCTAAATGAAAAAAGACTCGGCCGTCAAATGATTGAAGATCTCTAACTACAAAGTAAAGATTTCCACAAGATTTTACTAAGTACCACTTTCCACGTACGGCGAGGTAATGCGCGAGGAATCAATCAAAGATGTGTCGTCAATGATTCTAACAACGCTTTCTCGATCCACGGCAAAGAAAGAGTTCTTGTAATGTTAAAAGTCAGTGATTCCATAGCGTCGTTCCATCGGCCGCCATAAGTTTTCACCAATTGTGACGCACTGCAAGCCTGTCCGTTCGATCACAATAAACTTTTTTGCTTAAATCGAAGTCGCTGGACAAGCCTGCCTTGAAGAAACTCCTGGAGACTCGATGGTTTTCTTTAGAGCTATCGTTTCTAAGGAAGAAGTTTTTGGAAACCTCTGAGACGCGAAAGTTGAGAAGGTTTAAAACTTGAGGGAAGAGCTCGTCGTCAGGGAGATTCTGAACCGGGTGAGAAGAGGATGGATTGACGAGATGGAATATCTTCAATTGGCTCACTGACCTTGATCAACCAGCTCTTTTGGGGAGAGCTATCAGGAACTTCAAGGCGCGCGAAAGACTGTGGTTTGAACAAAGTGAAAGAAGCCATTGTGGTGTTAACAGTTTGAGCATTATTGATTGGACATACCATTTATTTGGGTAGTGAAAGAGGAGATTTATCAGGCGAGGAGTCAAGAATCGCTATGAGTTACAAATGGCTCGAAAATGGAGAATGTCAACGCGGGTATCCGGGCATTTTTCAATGAGAAATAGGAGTTCTGGTGGGAGATCAGCCTATGAAACTAAGGTTTTGGACTTTTTTTTTTCTTGGTAATGGGAATGAAACCCTAACCCTAATTGTTTCAGAAGAAAGAGAGGGAGATAGATTGAAGGTAGCGGAGATCTCCATGTTCAGTGGATTTGGTTTACCGATGTATATATAAGGCGGAAGAGGACCAGCTGCCTCCATTTGGAAACAACCGGTGTCAATTTCATGCATGTTAAAGATTCTAGAATGGGATTGATTTTGTGGATAACTTTCAATCAAGTTTTGTAATTTTTTTTTTTTTTTCAGTTTTTAGATTCTACAATGGGATGATCATAGCTAAAGAAAGAAGATGATAAGATAAAAATAGAAATTATTATTACAGAATAATAACATTAACATTAGCTGAATAAAGATTATAATATATAACTTAAAATGATGATAATTAAACTCAATCAAATATGAGAAGACAGTAATTAAAAAGTATATATAGATAAAAGAATGTTACTATCATTAAATCATTTTCTCAAAGTGTCTTAAACTGTACATATTAAAAATATTGAAAATAAATCATTTTTTTTCATTTAAATTGGAGTAAATTACTTTTTTCCATTCGACTTTTTCCCACTTAAAAAGTTTCAAAATATTACTTTCTACTCAAACTCCCAAAGTTTATATTTCGTTACTACCTAAAGCCAATTCTGACGGCGAAAATTTTCTCCATCATCACCATTTGAACCTCGGGTCTCCTCCTTACAAAACCTCTCTCTTTCTAGCATCTCATTTCTCGTCGATTGTCGGCCATCACAAAGCTAGGATTTCTTGTTCTTATCTGAACCCCGGTTGATTCCGACAATACATATTCAGTCAATTATCATCATTCGATTCATCAACCTTTACTCTATAAAACCTCTCACCTTAGCTCCCAGTAACTCGCCGAACGCTGATTGAGAAAGTAAAATATATTTTGGGTATTAACGAAATATAGACGTTAGATGGGAAAGTGGTATTTTGAAACTTTTTGAGTGAAAAAATGTCATTAAGGCAAACCTTGGGTGGGAAAAAGTCGTTTACTTGTTAAATAGTGAATTAACTTAGAGTAATACTACACATACATCATTTTCATACAATATTTCCCATACAACATTATGTGGTAAGATATGATTGGCTAATTTAAAGTTAAAATTAAACTTTCACCCAATCACATCTTGCCACATAATGTTGTATAAGAAATGTTGTATGAGAATGATGTATGTGTAGTATTATTCATTAACTTAATCATCAATTTTCAAATAGATTAAGATATAAAGTTGGAGATTATTTTCAATCGACTAATACATATAGTCACTTGGCATAGAAATCGTATTTTTATTTTAATTCTTATAAATAACATTAATTTCCTGGTATCAATAAAAATAAAATTAATGTATTAAAGATTAATTTCCATATCAACTGTGTACAAAAGGCACATATTTAATTAGTTTTAATTAAACAAAAGGAAACTATAGATTACATTAATTAACCTATTGTTGTTAAGTATAAAATACAGAAAAAGAAAAATTCAACAATTAATTCAGCCAGTGAAGAACCTTTTCCAGGACTGCCATGGCAGAAATCCACCTGCAAATCCATTAATTAAAAAAGGTTATTATTAGACATATTTAATGGATTAAATTTGAGAAAATCAATCAATTAATTAATTAATTAATCATACCACACCCAGGACACTTGAAATAGTCCTTCTCCCTTAAAATTAATCCTGACCCTCCACACACCTCACATCTTCTCTGTGCTATCTGATAATTAAATTTCCATAAAATTATAAAAAAAAAAAGAATTTAAATAAAATAATTAAATATAATAAGCTAAAATAATTAATATAAATATTTACATACAATTCTTTTGCTGAACTCAATTCCTGCAACCACAAATGGTGTAAACCCAGCTGCACATAATTATAAACAAATTAAACATGATTAAAAGAAAATTAATAATATTAAAAAATCTAAAATTAAATTACCCTATTTTGTTTAAAAAAAAAAAATGAATACCTATAGAACCAACAATAATCTGCCAAGTGACCGCGACCCGAGCAGGATCCGTTACGTTAGAAACATCATCAATGGCCTTAATTGGAGCGACCCGTCTTTGATTCGCAATCGGATTATTGTTGCGTCTTCTTCTTGTGCAACAAAAATTGGCCTTTGAATTTGAGAATTTTGTGATTTTGTTTGAGATGGGAATGGTGAATGAAGGTGAAGAGATTGAAGCTGCTTCCATGGCTGAGCCTGAACTGAAGCTGAAGTAAAATTAGTGTAACGATAGAACTCTATAAGAGAATGACCCGTTTAAATTGGGCCACGTTGGCATTCTTGGGGTCGGGTTCGCGCCAACCACATAAAAAACATGTGGTTTAGATTGTGGCTGTCCAGATGTTACAAAACGACACACAGTTTTGGACCTGTGAAACAATCCCCACATATTTGTAGCTTCCCAAAAAGTCCATGTTGTTTTGCTAATCCACACAAAACACCCTGTATTTTGTCTAGATATCACCATTCTCACCCCTAGGTAGAGCCGGCAGTGAGCCGTGCCACGCCGTACCTAAAAATTCAAGACTCATCGTGCCGTACCAAGGCCTCTAAAAATTCGTGCCTTATCATGTTGTGTCGACCCACCAAATCTGAAGGCCTATGGCACAACCCACTATATATCGTACTATGTCATGCTGTGGATTGGCCCACGTGCTTTGTGGGTGGCCTACAATTTTTTTTTAATATTTATAAATTATGATAATTTGATTTATTATTAATAATTATTGTAAAACTATTTTATATGTTATATTTAACGATATTTTGTATTTGTATTAATTAAAAATATATTTAATCACTATAAAATATAATAAAATAATAAGACATTGAAATATTAATTGAATTTCAACACTTTTTATTATTTATAAGTTATAATTATAAATTACAAATATAAACTTAAAAATTAGGATGAAGAATTAACACTAATAATTATATCTCTATTAGAAATACAAATATATAAATACAATGTGTGTTTGATCAATAAAACAATTTTTTTAGGCCCACGACACGACCCGTATGATTGTGAGCCGTGTCATGCCTTGTTGTATCGTGTTTTTTTTGTGTCGTTTGTCATGTCATAGGTCGGCATAGCCCACCGCCGACTCTATCTCTATGATTTTTAGCTCAAAGTGTAAACATACCTACGCCCATGATAATGCACACTATAATTTATCCATGTATCAAAGCAACCCTGAAGTCCAAAAATATATTAAAAATATTTTGCAGGACCTTATGGTTTGTCAAAATATCATAATGATTCCTGTATGTTATGAGCTTTCTAAGTTGCCCCTGCTGTTTTAAAAGATGTTGATAACGAAAATGCCACCATTTTTCACCGAAAAACTCAGAGGGATAAGGGAAATGACAGAGACAGTAGCAGAGCAAGAAAGAAATAAAAGCTAAAGCTTTAGATATTTTCCTTGTTTAGGGTTTTTGGGTATATTCTCTTTTTCTCTTTCTTTGGTTTATCTCTAAAACCATGTCACTTTTGTCTCTCTTCCCAATATTCAGTAGTAACCCAACAATTCTTCACTCCCCACTTCACACTGTTGCTCAGACAAGAACCAAAACTAGCCGTTTTGTGGCCTTATCCACTCACTCCAACGCTAAGATTCTTAAGCCTAACAGAAAGTCAAGGTATGGACAGCAACTGTCTCTGTATGATGATAGCGAAGAAGAAGAAGAAGAAGAGGAAGAAGAAGATGGGGATGACGTGGAAAAAGATGATTGGTTGGTTGATGATGATGTGAGTTTTTGTTTCTTGATTGTTATGTTATTCTTAGTTTACTCTTTGGCGGGTTTGCTTTTTGAAAGGAAAATTGTTTTTGTTTTGGTATGTAAATTTCCCTCCTTGTGTAAGCTTTCTTGGAGGTGTTTTCTAGTTTTTGAAAGCAGAAGTTAGTTTCTTGTTGCTGAAATTTTGGTTTTTGAAAGGAAGAAAAGTACTTTTCTAAAGATAATTTCTGGTTGCTGCATTGGTTTGATGCCAATTTTCTGAAAATTTTATAATTATGTGGTGAAAGTGTTGAACTATAGGTTTGTTATGTCAATTATGTGGCCAAGGGTTTGCTTTGGCGGAGTTAAATTGTTTATGGTGATGCTCTGTCGGGAGCAAAAGGCCAAGTTTGTATTTTTTTTAACTTGGGATTAATCCACTAATAGAATTTAAAGTTTGTATCTTTTCATTTCTCTTTATTTGAGTTCATATAGTGCTTTGTACAGTAGTTTCTAATTACGAGCTTGGTTTGGTGGTGTTTTTCATGTTTTCACTCGTTGTTGGCACTATGAAATTGGAAAATGAAGGAATTATTTGTATAGGAAGTAATTTCATTACCTCAGTTCTATATACCATTTAGAACATCATCCTTCATGGTGTGGGAGAAGTTAGTATTTGATTGAGTGTTGTTCCAAAGCAATGTGTTGTTAATTGGCAAAGACTGTTAAGATTTCCATGATTGAGATGATTGAATTTGATCCTATGGCATGTGTCCATGTTTCTTGTTTTATTTGTTATCTCTTTTTCACTTTTACTGACAATTTAATTGGTTAATATTACTTTGTTTGCCATTTCTTTGTTGCTTACACTTTAGCTGTGAGATTTTCTCCAGGATGACTTCGCAGAAGTTAAGGAATATGATGTCAATGGAAAGAGTAATAGGTCACAGAAGGGGGTGAATACAAAACAAGGTATGCTTTCAAAAACACTTCCCAAAAATTTGTAGAAAAAACTGGCTAAAGCATAACTTCTTTTTTGCAGGCAGTCAGAGATCACCAGTTACAGGCAGGAGCATAGGATCATTTAAATATGGAGGAAGCCTTCGAACTGCTGAAGAACAATTAGATGTCAGAAATAGAAGAAATATTGTAGGGAAGAGTATTACCAGTAATCCTTATCGTAATTCCTACAATACTAAGGAAGTTAATTCATTTGATGGCAGAGAAAAGGTATGATATTTGTCAAATTTTTCTATGAATTGTGCGAATAGTGAAAGGAGCTTTGAATGTTTCCTTTGGTTGCAGCATATGACGAAAAGTTCCATGGAGAATAGATATCAATGGCTATCTGAAGAAATAGAGTTGGATGAGAAATGGCTCCCACTTCTTGATTATCTAAGCACATTTGGGTTTAAGGAATCTCATTTTGTCCAAATGTATGAGAGGCACATGCCTTCCCTTCAGATAAATGTATGTTCTGCACAGGAAAGGTTGGAATACTTGTTGAGTGTTGGTGTCAAACAGAGGGATGTCAGAAGAATTATTTTGAGACAACCACAAATTTTGGAATATACTGTTGAGAACAATTTGAAGTCCCATGTCGCTTTCTTGATGAATTTGGGTATCCCAAGTACCAGAATAGGACAGATAATTGTTGTTGCTCCATCCCTTTTTTCTTATAGTGTTGAGAAGTCACTAAAACCAACAGTGAGATACTTGGTTGAGGAGGTTGGCATTAATGAAAAGAGTATAGGTAAAGTTGTGCAACTGAGCCCTCAAATTCTGGTTCAGAGGATTGACATATCCTGGAACACTCGCTATCTTTTTCTTTCAAAAGAATTGGGAGCACCAAGAGACAGTATAGTCAAGATGGTAACAAAGCATCCTCAACTCCTTCATTACAGCATTGATGATGGATTACTACCTAGGATAAATTTCCTACGGAGTATTGGAATGCATAATTCTGAAATCTTGAAAGTCTTGACTAGCCTTACACAGGTTAGTGGCTACTCTTGTGTTTTCTCTTCTTTTCCTTTGAACATCTTCATATCAAAAGAAATAGAGTTGTTTTCTCAACATATTTTTTTTATTTTGAAATGTATTATTTACCTTCATTCTGTTTTTCTAATTTCATATGATGTTCGCAAAATGAATTTATTGTTGAATGTGTTGCAGGTATTGTCCCTCTCACTGGAAGATAATCTAAAACCAAAGTACTCATACCTGGTTAATGAGCTTCGCAATGAGGTGAAGTCCTTGACCAAATATCCCATGTACTTAAGCTTGTCCTTGGATCAGAGAATTAGACCACGTCATAGATTCTTGGTATCCCTTAAGAAAGCTCCAAAGGGGCCATTTCCTCTAAGTTCACTGGTTCCAACTGATGAAAGCTTTTGTCAGCAGTGGGCTGGTACTAGTGTAGATAAATATTTGGCATTTCGGCAGAGGTTGCTACTCAAGGATTTTGCTAATAAATATGAAAAATGAGGATAATATATTTTCCCATGTTTGTTCTTTGTTTATACTATCACAAGTTTTGTAGTAGCAGAGTGATCATTCCCCAATTTAAGGCACCTATAAAGCTGGTCTTGTGGAACAGTTCCGGAAGTAACATTAGCCCTTGTAAGCTATTGGCTTGATTTCTTTCAAATAATGTTTGTGTGTTTCTCATTTTAATATACTAGATTCATGATTATGACATGGTATTTTGTGTCATATTTTATGCAGGAGTTGATCCAGATTTTTGTTTAGTTCACTTGGCATTTAAACTTTCACTTGGAGGCATTCAGATGATAATATCTTACTAACTGCTTGGATCGAAGAGAAAAATATTTCAAGTATAGTATATAGCAATAAGGTTAGTTATTAATTATTGAACTGGAGATTTTGAGTAGTAGTTGCGGAAATTCAAGCTGCATATAGAGTAATGGTAGTGTGCGTGGATATAAATACTGTTAGTCCTTGTACATGTAATTCCTCACTATTAAAATGTCATATTATTTTGGCATTATGCTTTTACACCATTGGTTGGCTACATTTTCGGATAGATTCAATTATTGGGAAAAATCTTTTATTAGCAATCATTGTACATGTTCTACTGTATGCTAAGATCTTTACTGAATTATTTTGGTAAGGTTTCTTGTCTTCAGATCTTCTATGTGTATATCGCTTTGTTACAAATTCACATTTTCTGATTATCACCTGATCCATTGCAGGCTTGTGCATCCTGATTGCATTTCATCAAAAATACAATTGGAAGTAGCAAGTTGTATAAACTGCAAGTTTTCCTTAACTGAAGGACATCCCTCCCTTGCAAAATATAATTATTTTTTGCCCCCTCCAGTACGAGATATAATCATTTTTGTTTCTCTGTTGAATGTAAAATTGGCTGGATACTTGGATAAGTGTAAATATGCTCTTCCAAGTTGCTCCATCTCATGTTTTATATGTGTATCCTTACCTGGCTGCTAAAGCATACCTTAACCTTTTCTATGTTATGCCAAATCACCGATTGTTTGTTCATGGCCAATTTATTTGATCTAATTTAATATTGAACCAATGTGCTTATACATGAAAAAAAAACATGAGATTTTCTATCATCAGGAGTAGGCATATTTGAAAATTCTTAAGTGCCTTGTGATTGGAGTATTCCTTGCAGAATCCATCACAAAGTAAGAGTACTTAAACTGTCTTTTGTCATTTTAAGATTGTTGGTAGGTTTCTTCAGAATTCTGTTAAATAAAAGGTAGTTGAATTGGATTCGCCAGCTGAAAGGCTGATGGTTGTCTTCCTCATAAAAATTTTATATCCTACGCTTTGGTGTACATCCTAAATTAGTGTAAGATTCTAAGAATGTTCTGTTCTTTAAACAAACTTACAATAGTAAAAGTTTAAACAATGATTGGTGTAATATACTAGGAATTGGGTGACTAATGTTCAATATTCAATAGTTCCTTAGGGAATCAAGGCAGGCAGGATGTCATTTTCAAGCTGTGTTTTTGACCCAGTCCCAGGTGTCTTCTTGTTCCTCAAAAGATAATATTTATCTTTGTTTTTACAAGTCAAATGAACACACCCTTTTCCCTCCTTTTTGGTCAATCTGTTTATGTTAATGAATTGCATTCTTGAGCTTCGGAACTCTGATTATTATATTACTTGTACAGGGGATGATATTGACATTGCTGCTATCTTTGGATACCCATCAAGAAAAAGACTATAGTTTGAGGTCAAAATAGTAGTTGAAACTTTGTTTTTACTTTGAATAACAATGATATATCTCCTCAATCTGTCCTCCATAACTTAATTTTGTTTTTTCTGTGACTTCAGAATCAACTATTTCTAGTCCATTTTTTTAGTTACCCAGTAAAGATGGTGATGATTGGAGCACTTTGACAAATTTGTTATTTGATAAGTTGGTAACCTTTCAACTTTTGATTGCCAGGCTTCTCTCAACTCTTCTTTAGACTCTAATATTCCAGTATTATCCGGAAATTGCGGACTTTTTGAAAAAAAGTAAGCAAATCATTCATTCAATCAATCAATCAAAGATTTGGCAAAAGGGTATTGTCAAAAGGGCACTTCAAAAGATGATGTCAATTTAAGATATTATGTAAATCCAACAGGAAGAGATAATGAAAGAGACAAAACTTAAAAAAATGCAAGTCGTTTTACAACAGTATTGGTGGGTGGATTCCATATTTATATTCTAATTAATGGGTTCTTAACTTTTCTATATGCAGAAACTTATAGCAACTCTGATCTTATCTAGATACCACTTACAGAAACCAACTTCATTCAAGTCTTTTTCAAGGGTTTCATACACCTTATATGCCTTCCAGGATTGATACCGATAAGAGTTTGCAAAGTTTCCCAATAAGAAAAAATTCTTCAAGCTACTAATAAGTATCGCATAGAAGAATCTTGCTGATGAGTTCAAATCTGGAATTTGAATCTGCACCTGAAAGTTTTCAATGGTAAGTAGATAAATATCTTGGCTATACTTGTGACATAACAGGTTTGGTTTTGACTTGGGTGAATCCAAGAAATGCTTCGTTATTTGGATCAAAACTATTAGCACCCTCATGTGGGAATAGTTTCATCTACCAAGTTATGCCATTGAACTTTCACCCGAATATTCAATGTAATATTCATAAACAAAATTACTATGTTCAACTTCTCAAATGAAAGCTTTCAAATTGAGGAACACAAATTAGTAAATCAGTAAACATGCCTGTATATAGAAACATTCAGTTACTTAAGAATAAAAGTGCAAAAAAATTGAGATTACGATGCATGGAGACTAGAAAAGGTTTCCACTATATGAGGTGAAAATTTACAAAACTAGCAACCAACGTTTATAAACTGTTATAAGCTGCTGCTACTAACCCTTTTGTTAATAGTTATTTCCATCTATTTCTGAGTGGTAACAGAGACCATAAACATATATCGACCTCTCTGAACACTGCTTATACATTTTTTGTTTCTTTTGTTTTTGGGTTTCACTAAAAGACTATATCTTCTAAGTCTTCCATAGCCTTCTTTGTGTGATTATGATTAAAAGAGAAAGAAAAACCTGTAAAACCTTCCTGTAAATCTACGTATCATGTTCATCTTCGCTACTTTCAACAGAGTAGATTCTCCGGTGTTTTCTTGAGCAAGTATGTACTTGTGGAGAACTTCGATGATAAACAAGTTCAATGAAAAAAAGAGTTGCTATCAAACCATTGATGTTGCGCCTTTGTGCCATTACTCTTAACTCTGAAGTGTTGTTCTTCTGTGTGTTGCTGAGCCTATATGACGGTGGAAATGCCACTAGCTATAGGGGAAGCAAATGGGCTATCTGGAAGATTAAGACCTTCACTGCTACAAAAAGATTAGAAAATTAGACAACCTTTGTCAAAATTTAATGCTAAATCAAGAATAATGCAAGAGGACTTTAATGCAAACATATAGAAGGAGACTCTTGATGGAACGTCATTCGCTACCCACCTAAGAAGTGAAATCGTTAAACTATGATTTAGGATTGGGAAGGAAAAAAGCAACCCCGATTAGAGAATATTTAGTCTTCATGTTTTAAAAGGTTAAATATCACATACTTAGCTACCGGACTAAACTGGGAAATGTTAACTGACTTAACTTTCATACCTCTCTTGGTCAGTGTAATTATTCTCTGCATGCTTGACACCATCAGCGGCAGAGCCATTGTTCAAAACATCTAGCAGATAACTGAAACGCTCTGCTGACGGAAAATTGAGATGATCTGCATACACAAAGATTAGAATTAATTGAAGGAGAAAAATTAAGCAAACAAGGGAACATAAAACATCAAAAGTAATTTACAGATTATGCGACTATGCATACAGTAAAAGTTTCAGACCTTCTGAGACTTTCAAGCCATCCATGGAGTAGCCAAAATAAGGCTGACTAGCGAGAGGTTTTTGCACTAATTGAAGTTCTGCGAGATGCCTCCTCTCGAATTCAAGAGCCTGCTCATGCTCTTCCATAAGCTGCTGTTTCCTGAGAAATCTTGAGGTCTCGCATCCTCGTGAATCTGAGATAAAATAAGTTATAAATGGTACGAACTCCGTGAACAATTCATTTACAAAATCAATTGAAAGAACATAAAGACGCAAAACAACAATGAACTGGATCCACATCATTTGTAATTCACAAATTTGAAACAAAAGAAACACTCTAGAGGTCTCAGAAATAAATTATTTTTATAGAAGAACCCACTCACATGACTGAAGCTCGGAGTCCATGTCTATATATGGTGGAGAAAAATAGATTGAAGGCTCCATTCTCTCTTGGTATTTTCTGACAAAAATAAAGAACCTTGAATAAATTTCACAAGTATACAATTCACTTAGTTCTAACTTTTCTGAAATTTATAAGATGCTAAAATGAAAGAGAAGAAAATATATTCACCTATCAACAAGTTTCGATTTCTCCCGGTAAGGTTTCACAAGAACGCGAGCACCACAAACGAAATGTGGATTTCCCTTTGCCAAAATTATTTTCACAGTATCTGCACTGGCGAAGGTTACAAATCCAAACATCCTTTTCTGTTGGCAAGGAATTCTGACATCTTCAACCTCTCCATAGGTGCTGTAAAGAAACCACAACACAATAATAATAAGAAATTGAGTTAAGAGTATCAAATTTAGATGCAAGGCATTTCAAGATTATTACCTGAAGTAATTGGAGACATCATCTTCTGAAAAAGTACTCTCAGCTGGAAATGTTAGGTAAATCTGCCGTGATCCACAAACAATCGGACCAGGGTCACTCCTCTCGTTTCGACTTTCCAAGTATTTCGGTGCATCCTCAGCCAAAATCACAGCATGCTGTCCATGAGGCCTGCAAATATTCATAAAGAATGGATATCTGAAAATTTGATAAACACTAGAGTTACATAGAATACCATAATCTCTACCTGTCAATCAACCGAATGCTGTTTTTCAATCTAGCTAGAAGCTTGGTCAAACTATAACCAGCTTTGCCATGTCGCTGGCTCTCGGTGAGATAACCGTCGGCCTGAAGAACTTTTCCATACTTTTCATAATATATCATTGGCAGTGAAGCAATTGAAATAGGATTTCCTCTTTTTGATTTCAATAATTCAACGATTTCCAACTCTAATTTCTCGAGTGACCCCGGTGAGAAAACATGGTCTTCATTAAAACCATCCATTGAATTATGCACAAACAGTTGAGAGTAGTTCTCTGAGACTTGCCCATGGTAGTACCTACAATTACTTCCATGCTTACAAAACCCTTTGTTGTAGTAGTGACACGTCTTTACCGGAATTTCGGTCGGGGATGTATAACGACGACTTCTTGCACCTAAATTACTCAAAACTGCATCGGAGTAATAATAATCATTTGCAAATCCTGTATTCCCGAAGTTAACATGCTCCATTTGGTCCTCTAAACTCAAGAACTGAGCTTGATTTTGGAGTTCATTGATAGAATCCGAATAGCCTAAAGGCACAAAATCCGAATTATGCTTGGCCACGACATGGTTCTCCCAATAGGATGGAACTCTAAAGCTTGCTGGTAGTGACATTGCAGGCCTGGATGAAACTGGCGAAAAAGGTGTGTACTGAAATGGGCCATCACTAACTGGCGGTGAGTTCATAGAAGGTGAAATCGGAGCTGATGCTGATTTAAGGGGCAATTGCTGAAGCTCAGCTTTGGCTTTGTATATAAGTTCCTGAATAACAATATCAGGACTCAAAGCCAACTGAACCATTTCTTGGTCACCATGGTCTTGTAGAAGAAGATACCCAATAATCTTTGTAACATGCTCTGGTTCCAGTTTCCTGATTCTGTTGAACACAATTTTTGTAGAGTCTGAAAAATCCATGTAGCATCTAGAATAAATGTCTAATCCCTGCAATTGCCACAATAAGAAAAAAAAAAATTAACACTACCCTTTTAAGGATAAAATCTTTTTTCCAAAATAGTTCACAAATTTGCTTACAAAATCTAAGGCCACAGAGGTTCATAACCAGATCCAGTGGAACAAAGCTCATAAAAAATCCCAAAAAAGTTAAAAAAAAAAAAAAAAAAAAAGTTGGGGGTTTTTGTTTCTGGTGAGAAGCTTAAAAGAGAAGAAATTAAATATTATAGGAATCTGCAACATATAACACAAACAGAAACGGGACGAAATGCCTGAAAAAAAAAATTCTGGTGTGTCTATAAATGGATATAATGTATATTAAAATGATTTCTGAACAGAAACTACAAAGCTGCAATGATTGACAGAAATGAACTTTTTTTCGTCATCTGCAAAAAAAAAAAAAAAAAAAAAAACCATACAAATTACAAGACATATCAGACATAAAATCATACGAACCCCAAAAAAAAAAAAAAAAAAAAACTGTTCTTTCCACATAATCAACAAACATTCTTTCTTTCTTCTTTCATCACTTACATGAGAACACACAGATGAACATTTGAGCATCAAGGAGAAAGCCAAACATAGTGGATTCCAACAAAGAAAGCACACAAACAAGCTATAAACAAACAAAATAAGCACTTCCTCGAAAAATCACCAAAAAAAACTCAAAAAAAAAAAAAAAAAAAAACACCCTTCATCTTTAAATTCTATTCATGTTAAACTCTAAAGACTTCCAATCTCTCTCAAACTCTGTTAAAAGATAAACATAAACATTTAGCTTCACACATAAAAAGGATAAACTTGAGTTGAAAGAGTTATCCAGTGACAGAAAAACAAAATACCCACCAAATGTTTTTGAGTGTGAGTTGCAGAAAAAGTATATCAGAAGAATGAACAAAGAAGCTGAAACTGAAACTGAAACACCATGTTCAAACTTAAACCCATCTCTGTGTCTGTGTATTAGTATTGTTTCAGCTAATATTTATGCATATGCATACACAGCTTTTCCCTCATGCTCAAAATTATCTGAACGAAAGACATAGACATCATGTTGAACACACAGAGAAAGCAAAACTGACACAAATTGATGCTTTTTAAAAGCAGACACTCTCTTCCCTTCACTCCATTTCAGCTCAGTTTTTTATAATTATACTGCACAGGCCACAGAGAGAAAAAGGGGAAAAAAAAGAAAAAAAAGAAAGGAAAATCCACTTAATTAGAATCTCTCAAACCCCTGATGTTTAGGAACATATCAGTAAAACCCCCAATATATGATAAATTGCAAACCTTCTTTAGATTTGGAAAAATTTATCGTTGACCTCCTTTAACAGTGTAACTATGAATGTAATGGTAAAAATTGATAAAATCAATGGGGGTAAGTGATGATTTTACGAAATATGAGTGGGAGGTAGTGATTTTTCTTAAACCTCAGGGGAGGTAAGAAATAATGAGCCTTGTCATTATGATTATAATTAATTCAATTTTGAATTTTTTTAAAGCTGGATTTTACACTAATAAGAGACAATTAAGGCACTTAATTAGTATATTTTTCCTTAATTTTCGAGTTTCATTGTAACAAATTAAATTGAAATGACGGAATTACCCTTGTTTAAGTACAAAACCCTAAAAATCTAAAATTAATTTTTAATAATTCGGAAAAACCAAAGTGCTAAATTTAGAATTTCCCACTACAAGCTTTTTTGTCTTCTAAGGAGGTAAATCCTCCTCAAATGTGCACCGTCAGATCATCTCGATGTGCACAAACGAACGGATCAAAGGGGTGGCGCACGTACACTTTAGGTGCCCGCGATTATTGGAAATTTGTTTTCTTTGTAAAGCAATAATAAAGACGATTGAAAAAGAACACAGATTTGATTAATTAAGAGCCACTTGATGACAAGCCCAGTTACATCGAACGGTCCCATTCCCTTTATTTTCTACTTGTTTTATGGTCCATTGATTTAAAGGGGGTCCGGTTTTTGTCCCATTGTGTACGGCTTTGCACATTGTAGTGGTACTTGTAACTACATGATTTTAATTTTTTTTGTTTGAATTTTTAAATGTAATAATAATTATAATAACTAATTACCTAATCTTCAACCCTAATTTAAGATTTCAAATTATTATCACCAATTATTATTATAAAGGAGTTAAAATAAACAGTAAGAGGGCAATTTGGTAATTTTTATTAGGAGTGTTCAAAAGAAGTGGATACCCAGGGTTTGGTTCCGGTTCCTACCTGGAACTGGCCGTCAATGGGTAGGTTCTGGTTCTGGTTCCTATAGTTAGGAACCGGAACCGGAACCGAGACTAATATAAAATAAGATTAAAAAGTGGGGGGTTAATAAAAAATTTTGTAGAAAAAGTAATGTGAATACATTTTATTTATATTTCATAACATTTAAAGTAAGTTAGTTTGACTTTTGAGAATCTACCTTTACAAAGTAATGGAGTTTGTAATTTTGAATTTATAATTTGTAATTTTATTTTTGTTAACAAGTGCCAGGTGGGGGGTATTTGTAAGTTTTTAAGGGTTTTTTTTGCCATTTTAAAATTTTTTGGGGGGTAATAAATTTTACAGGATATCCAGAATCGGAACCGGAACCATTGTTACAGATTCCAGTTCTGGGTACCTAGGAACCGGAACCGTCGATTCTGCTTCTGGTTCCGGTTCCAAATTTTAAGGAACCTTCGGTTCTGGTTTCAGTTCCTTAAAAAAATGCAGGGTACCCAGAACCGAACACCCCTAATTTTTATTAACTCATAACAGTGTAAATTTTAACAATTCATTAACAATAGGGGGAATTCTATTATTTTGGAAACTTCAAGGAGATTTTTGTTACTATATCTTACCTTAGGAGGATTAATATGATTAACTTTTTTTAATATAATGATAAATATAATGAAGGGGGTAGATTGGTAATTAGATGGAGCTTATGTGTCAAGCAGCTGACCTGTTCAACCGGCTGGATAAAAGGGGTGTACGGGTCAAAAGATAAACGGAGAGAGAGATTAAAGGGTAAATTAGGATTTTAATTATATAATTAAGATAGGATTAAGGAGAATTAACCGGGAGAGTAGGTTAAGATTGATTATCATTATCTCCGCCTCTCTTGTTATCGTTAGCCCCCTTTTGACTTCATTTTCATTTGCTTAGCTCTTTCTCTACTAATTTAACTCCTCTAGTGAGAACAAGTCTTCTCTTCATTTTGTCATGTTTATATCACCATTAATTTTAAATCATTTTTGCCCTAATTCTTAATTATTATTTTATTAAATTTTTTTACTTTTACTCGGGTTATTTTTAATTGTTGTTCTAATGTACACGTGTCACTAAATTTTTAAAAATTTAAAGAGATTTTTATCAGTAAAACTCGAATTAAAGTAAATCCTGATTCAGAATCTTAGGGTCCGTTTGGTTTATTATTTTGGATAGGATTTTTGAGATAGTATTGGATAGTTGAATAGGATGATCATTACGAGGTAACATTTAAAAATTTATAAAAAAACTCCCTAGGTTTGCCAATTTAACTAAACACCCCAATATATAATTTTTTGTAAAATAACAAAAACACCCCCACCCACCCACAGTGTCAGATTTCGGCCACCACTGCTGGAATCTAGCGTTACGAAGCAGATCAGCTGAATCTGGCCGGACATGCGTCTATCTGGCCTTTTTCAGCCAGATCCACCACAGATCTGGTCGAAAAAGGCCAAATCGACGGCCAAATCTGGCCGTCAACGGTCGCAAAAGACCAGATTTGGCCGTCGTTGTCTGTCAACAACAGCCAAGAGTTGGTCGTCGCTAATGACCAGATCGACGAATTACTGACCAGTTCTGATCGTTTGTAGGCTGTTGTGACAGATTCCGGCTATCACCGACGATAGTTGCCAGAATCTGGCAACGATTGGTGGGTGGATGTGTTTTTTTTAATTTTTAAACTTTCTTTTCGTGTGGGTATTTAATGAAATTGATAAACTTAAGGGGTCTAAAAGTAATTAAAAAAATATAATAGTATTTCCTAAATAATTAAACAAACAAATATTTTGGAAATAGAATTGGGAATAGGGATAGAAATAATAAACCAAACGCACCCTTAGATTTTTGTTGAATTGGTTATTTAAAATTCTTCACATCTCTTGTTTAAAACTAATAAGCCATATTTAAACCTTGATAAAAACTTTATAACCCTAAAATATTTGAAATTTAAAGATAATCCAAAATTGTTTACACCTAAACATTATTTTGATCAATTGGGAAGCTCATGTAAACAATGAATAACGAGTTGACCCATCCGTGGATAGTCCAAATGATTAGGACGAACTGGAGATAATGAGGTGATATGTTGTTGCACTAGTCTCCCCAAAGGATTAGTCGAGATGGAGGGTTGCTGCGCTAATCTCTCCTAAAGATTAGTTGCGGTGTTTGGTTATTATTCTAATCTTTTTTAATGATTAGTTGAGACACGTATAAACTAGTTCGGACACCTTGTTTACCAAAAGAAAAAATGTAAAATTTCCCCAAAAGTGACTAATGTCATGTCGTTTCTAGATGAAAGATGATGGAGTAGCTTTAAACAAGTCCTTATCCAACTTTATGTAAAATCATCAATCTCTCCTTCCTTGTAGCTATGAAAATTATGAACATTATTGGTCATTATGAGAAAGTAGATTCAATTTTTAAAGCTTGTGGATGCTACCATTTATTCCAAAGCTTGCTATTATTTCAATTTTGAAACTTGGTTTTGTGAACTTTAGTGAAAGTTAATGTCATTATTGTTGTTACCTTTGTTACTTGTACTCTATATTTATTTCCTTGCACTAATTATTAGATAGGTTAGAAACTATAAGTAATTAACACGCGTACAATCACTTATGTAAACTCTTATCAACCCTTTTTAGTGAGCGCTTTGCTCTTAATTTTATGTTTGTATTGAAGAATTTTCTCTCAAAGAAACGAATCTGATACTCAAAGATTCCTTGGTTCAATACGAAGAAGCAATGTCAACACTAGGTCAATTTTCATTATCGAACTAACTATAATCTTCTTCTGTCTATGAAGATCCTACTAGGGCGTGTACTATTTTTATAGGCCATGACTAGATTAAGTTATTCTTAACGACCCATCTCTTTTGCTAAGTATGATAACCCATATGATAGAACCTTATATTATTTGTATAAATAGAACCTCATAACATAAAATATTTCATTGGACTAACATTACAAAATCCTTCAACAACCAACCAATTAACCACAATGTTGTTTTTATATGAACATTTTGGAGGTGCAAAAATCATTGTAGAAGATTAAATAGTTCTTAATAGAGGAGGGAGAATGGAGGGCCATGGGGTTTAGTTGTTGTAGTTGTCAAGTCATTATCTTCATCATCTCTAGACATCTTAAAGATGAGAAAAATTTTCATGGTGGGCCGCCATGAAATCCCCCCAACAAAATCAAATCCTCATGTTTGGGATTCTTTTTTCGTTTCTTTTTTCTTTTTATATCATCTCTAAATTATTTTTCATCCATCAACCGAAACTTACTTCCTTTCATCAAGAATATAACAAGTTTTTGTTTGATATGGTTTATACTTCTCTTAGCTTTGACGGATTATTGACTTACGCCGACTCATTCGGAGGTCCACAGAAAATTGTGTGTCTTCTTTACTTTTCTGTTTTCAGATACTCAATAAATAGAGAGCAAGAGTGAACTGTCGTAATTTACATTGTATTTGCTATAGCTTTCTAATACTCAATAAAAGTATTCTATTTGAGTGTTGGATATAGTTCATTTATTGGAACAAACTAAGGTAAATTGTGTGTCTTCTTTACTTTTCTGTTTTTATTATTGTGCGTGTTTTGGCTGTGGTTTCAACAGTTTTATTGCTTTATGTTTTATGTAGAATAATTTTTATTTAAATATTTGTTCATCGTGTTATGGACATACGCTTTTCAACTAGCCGAAAGACTAACTGTATATACATAAAGCAAACGTTTGCACTACCTTCAGTTGGTCCAAGCTCAACTCTTAGCCGATCTAGAGCTTACATACCAATCGAGTGAGATCATTATCACATTGGTTTACATACCAATTTCGTGACACCAGTGTCACGTCCGTCATTTGTCAC